GATCCCGGGACTCCAGGACCATGACCCGAGCCGAAGGCAGTCGCCCAGCCAACTGAGCCACCCAGGCGCCCCAGAACATCCATTTTGAAGAACACTGAGGTCTAGTACCAGCTCTGACATTTATTAATATGTAACTACTCTGGTGCTCAGCTTCCTTAACTATAAAATGATGGTAACTTACTTTTGAGTTCTTTTTTATTTTATTTTATATGTATGTGTTACTTTACATACATATAATTTAAATATATTTTTTACATACATCTATTTTAAATATAAAACTCTATAAATACAATAACCTGGCTGCAAAAGAAAGCTTTTAACCAGCTGTTTTCCCTCTAACAATAATTCTCTGAGTTTCATTTTTTTTCTTTTTTTAAGATTTAAGATCAAGATTTTTAAGATCTATTTATTTATTTCAGAGAGAGAGAAAGAGCGCATGTGCACCCATAAGTGAGGGGAGGGGCAGGGAGAGAGGGACTCTCGAGCAGACGCCCCACTGAGCCTGAAGCCTGATGAGATGTGGGGCTCGATTCCACAGCCCTGAGATCATGACCTGAGCTGAAATCAGGAGTTGGATGCTTAACCAACTGAACCACCTAGGTGCCCCTCTTTGAGGTTCATTTTGATCATATCACTCATCAAAAATCCTATAATTACTTTAAATAGGCTCTGAAGTGAAAGAAAATGACATTCAACCAATTAATTCCCCATAACCTACTATATACATACTCTTCTATTATACTTAAATTCATAGCCACCCACACATCAAAGCCTAGGGCTAAAGAAAGAATTAATGCCATCGAGTGGCTAAAATGTGCCACACAATGAAAGGGATTTTACATACACTACCTCAGTTTTTCTAACAGTCCTACAAAGATTACCGCTGACCCTTGAACAACGCAAGGGTTAAAGGCACCAACCCTTGTACAGTCAAAAATCTGAGTATAATTTCTGACTCCCCAGTACTTTACTACTACTCTACTGTTGAGTGGAAACCTCGTAACATAAATAGTAAACTTATATGTATTTTGTATGTTATATGTATTATGTACTATATTCTTACAATAAAGTAAGCTACAGAAAACATATTAAGAAAATCATAAGAGAAAGTACATCTATAGTACTTTACTGTACAATAGCCACATATTAAGTGGACCCACACAATTCAAACCTATGTTGTTCAAGGGCTAACTGCATATTTTAACCCCATTTTAGAGATGGTGAAACAAATGCCCAGTAGTAAGGTTATATAACTTGTCTACTATCAAAAGCTAGTCAGTACTAGATGGACAATGAACCCAATTTGCCTGGCTTCAAAACCAATGTTACAGCAAATCTAATACATTAAAAATGAATGGAAACTGAAAGAAACATTTTATGGTCATAAATATTTATATGTATTCACACAGTTTAGAAAGAAGCCACAAACGTAACAAGATATGAAAACTATATCTATCCTATACTAACAACCCCAACTGTTAATTTCTCTCTCTAGCGGGCTTGACTGAATTATACTGGTCTAACTATTTAAACAGCTAATTTATAGCACATAACAATGCTGGTTCTTCTACCCTGAAAGAGAAAATATCAGAATTGAAAAAAAATCTTAGAAGTGTAACTTTTTTCTTATACAAGAATTCCTTTAAAATCTCTTTTATAAGTTGCTCATTCAACTTTATTGAGAGAGAACTTACTATTTTCTATAGCAGCTCATTTCATTTTTTAACAATTATCCTTTGTACTGAAATAAAATCTGCCATCCATGACTTTCGCTTTGTCCTCAACAGCCACAAAGTATACAGTCAATCCAAGGATGGAACATGCACAACAGCTTGCCACTTGCCACTTCCCCAGGAATTTGGCAAACATTGCTACTTGATCGGTGTAATCTCTGAAAACCAAGACCCATCCAGTAAACCTTACCAATGAGCTCCAGGAAGTCACTACCAATCAATTAGAATAAACACACACAAATTAAAATCTCATTGCTATCCCTACCCTACTTTTTCCCTACATGTTCCTCTTTTTAACTTTAAAGACAGCTATCAAATCTTCGTTAAATTTCTTCTTTAATAGGCTTTTAAAAAATCCCATTTTTCTTCAATTGTCTGATATGTAACAGGATTTTCATCATCTCACCATTCCTGCAATTATTCACTGGATAAGCTCTTATAATGTTTATCTAAGGTATGATCTGATTCAACTCAAAGTTTTTGACTTCTCTTTGGCAAACCTTTCTCCTCCTACCCTTGGGATACTGCTTAAGGTTTGGTTGTTAGATCTTTGTTTTCTTTCTTTACAAACTCTTTTCCACTATGTGTTAGTTTTTATCAGCTTCTAAAGTACATGGTACTTACTTCTATCAGATCATTTACCATAGATAAAACAAAAGACGTCAACTTCCCTATTAAAAGCCCTTCAACTGTCTCGCAATTCTTAACTTACAAAGATCCTAGTGATTCGGCACTACCTACATCTACTTTACCTTGATCTTCTGTCTTACAATTTTTATTCTTCAAACATATCAGGTTCTCTCCTACCTCAGGGGTTGTATATTTCGTCTCCTCTTGCTGGGAATACTCTCTCTGGGTCTTTACAAGTCTGACAACTTTTCTCCCATCAGGTCTCAGGTCAAACGTAGTTTCCTCAAGATACTCCCTAAATTACTTTATCTAAAGTGGCCCCCACCCCCTTATACCACCCTATTTACTTCCTTCACTGTACTTGTAGTTTTTTTTTTTTAACTTGTTTACTATTTATTTTCCCTCATTAGAATATAAGGTCCCTAAGTATATGGACTTTGGAGTTTTGATCAATTGTTACTAGGGTCTAGAATGGTGCGTGGCACAAAACAGAAAATCAGTGCCTAAGAGTTCTGTTACAGCAATGAGCATGTATTATCTTTGTAAATCGAGAACCTAGTAAAAAGCCTGGTACATATATAAGACATTCAACCAATATTTGTGAAATGAATGGATTGATCTTACCCACTTGGATGGCATTCACTGTGACCTCTTGTCAGATGATCTCCAAATCTGCTTATCCAGCCCTGACTTCTAGTTCCACATCTTTATTTAATTGCTAAGTAACTAGGTATAGAACCCATCCCCTTCCAATAGTTTTTTTCTAATCACTGTGGCATTGTTTTCTTTGCAAATTATAGACAAATTCCTTCTCTTGTACTCAAATCCAACTAGTTACGTATTAATACTGTTTTTTCCTTTATTTCCTGCATATATCTTTTTCTAATCCTACTGCCAAATTTTACTTCAAGCTCTCCTGATATTACAGTTGTAGCACTGGAGTGGCTGCCTGCCAATATGCACACCTCTAGTTCCTCCTCTCTCAAATTCGTTCTTCATACAAATTCCAAGATTAACTTTTCCATTATGTCTCTTCTATCCCATCTCCCATACCAACAAGTATAAACACCTTAGCCCAGCATTCTAAGACCTCAACATCATTTTAAACTGAAATTATCAAAATAAAGGTATATTTGGGAAACGAGGTGGCAGACTCTTACAGTTTCAGATGTAATGGTAAAAAATTCTGCAACTAATCAGGTATGGACTGAAGACCATTGAAGTATAAGTTCCCTGAGGAATCTTGAAAGACCTTATTTTTTGTTCATTGTTAATCTACTACCTGGAAGTGCCGGGAATATAGTAGATACCAATGAATATTTGTTGATTAAATGAATGAATAATTTCGTAAAATTTTTTTTTAAATTTTATTTATTTATTTGACAGAGAAAGACACGAGAGAGGAAACACAAGCAGGGGGAATGGGAGAGGGAGAAGCAGGCTTCCCACTGGGCAGGGAGCCCGATGCGGGGTTCGATCCTGGGATCATGACCTGAGCCGAAGACAGAGGCTTAACAACTGAGCCACCCAAGCACCCCCCTAATTTCATAATAATTTTTAATGAATAAATGAATGATCCTAAATGAGAGAATGAATGCCAAGATGAAGGTAGTGTTCTTTGAAAATCAGTCTGGTATTAAGACATGTGGGGATTAGTTAGTAAATTATCTTATTAAAAAAAAAGCCAACATTAATCAAGTTCTTACCACTTGTTTAAGATTTTTTTTTTATACACCTCACTGAAGTTGGTGGTATTAAAGCTAAGAAAATAGATATACATAAAGGTGAAGAATTTTGCTCAAGTATATACAACAGTTTTTGAACCAAGAAAAGCAGTGATGAGGGCCTGATTAGGATGCTGGCTATGAGGAAAGAAAAAAATAAATCGGAAAAGTATTTTTAAAGTAGAGGTTACTAAAGCAGTAATCACTACCTCACATCATCATTAAACACTATAAATCTGCTTCCACTAATATATGTAATTTAAAAATGACAAATGTATCATCAACCTAAATACTAAATGATAAAAAGCTTGATATCTTTCTTATATTTTAGGCAAAACTGGGGTTAAGTTCTAATATTTTCTTCCCACACTCCAGTAGATGGATTAGAATCTAAATAATAAAGTTAGCACCATGGACTTGAATCTACTATGGACCAAGTTTACTTCTACTGGATTCTAAGGCTACATATTGCATTCTAGCCATTCACATCATTCATAAAAGCCACTGAAACACGTGGAAGGCTGGGTAAGTGAGCACCTTAGTGCATTTCAAATCCAGCTTTGATACTATAACCTATAAATGGTGGTGAGTCAGAAGACTCACCTTAGTTGTTAGGGAGTGCATTACTAAAATAAATATATTTCAGTATTAGCTCTCACTTGGTTGTCTTTTAGGTTAATACAAATTAGACATTTTCAAATCACTGCACAAGCAAAAGCTACTGCAGTGCTCTGAAGTTCACCTCTGTCTTAAGGAAGACTTATATAACTCACCAGATGAGGAATGTCAAAAATACCTAGGTTCTTTTATTGTGTTAAAAATAAAACTTCTCAAAGTCTTCTAAAACAGAAAGTTTACATTCAAAATGAATGATAAATATAATGAAAATTCAAGTAAACTGTTTTCATCTTACCCTGTCCAGTTCCAGTGTAAACTTCTGGTCCCATGACTGATTAGAAATGGGTTTCCAGCTCGTTTGACCAACCACAGTATTATCTAGCTTCAAAACTGCACAGACATCATCTGTAATTACAATTTATAAACTTGCTTAAATATTTTAAAACCTTTAAAACAGAAGTACCATCATTTAATAGCAACAAAAGTCTTATGATCCTCTGAAAGTAAGGTTTCTTTTTCCCTTTTCTTTTCTTTGGTGGGGAGGGTGAGGAGGGGTAGAGGGAGGGGGAGAGAGAATCTTAAGCAGGCTCCACGCCTAGTGCAGAGCCTGAGGTGGGGCTCCATCTCACAACCCTCTCATATCATGACCTGAGGGGAAACCAAGTGTGGGAGGCTTAAGCGACTAAGCCACCCAGGTGCCCCGAATGTAAGGTCTTTCTTAATCCTGAAGCTTTTGAATCTTAAATGGCTACTTTTATATGTACATACATTCCCACTAGATGCTCCCAACTTATCCTTTGTGTTTGAGAAAAACACAAAGATTAAATGCTATTTTGTATGTGTGTTTGTTTGTATATAAATAGCAATCATCCAGTTTTTCAGCCTCTACACTATTTATAGAGCTTGTTACCTCAGGCAATTTTTATTTTCACACTTTTCCTAAAATCTCTCTATATAGGAAAGCATTGACATATTCACCTCTGTACTCTACAGTAGGTTGAATTATCACAGGCCTTCCCCCTCCACTCCCACTTATACCTTTATATCATAGTTATATATCATAATTACATTTTATAATGTCTCCAAAGTGCTTCATAAACTTGTTGCATAATACTCTTACCACCTCCACCCACTCCTCCATTTGTTTGCTAACTGAACCACTACTCTTAATAAACATGTTTGGTCCAGTAGTTATCAAAATTTCAAAGTTAGTTTAGAAGTGTCACTATACCATTAAAAGAATCAAGATGTAACAAATCTAACAGCCTCTGAACACTTTCAGTTTGGCATAAAGAGTGATACTCAATATTTCATTCTTCCAAAAGAATTAATGCTATATGTCATTCAGTTTTCTATGATAATTTCAATAAATTTGGTTGCATTTGTTTTCCTGACAGTACAGCTTTTAATGTTTTAAAATTAAATTATAGAAATCATAACTGTAAAGCTTTTTGTTCAACTTTGGCTCTTCCCATTGCTGTCCCCATTGCTAAGTCCTTTGTACAGATCCTATATGATTTTTAAAAAATCTGGTTACTGAACTGGATAAGTCGTCGGTTTTTAGGAGATTTCGACTACTTCCACCTTTACTTTTACTTGTTCTGCTCATGAAAGACGATCTGGTTTCACTTGGACTCCAACCAGGTAGTGCAACCGATGTTGCTTTTGACCGTCCAGGGACTGTCTCTAGAATATCTTGACAGCCCATAAGACGAACTTCCAAAGTACCTGTTAGCATAAACAAATATCAAATAAGAACATAAATTTTTTTAAAGATTTTATTTATTCATTTGAGAGAGAGAGAGAGAGCACAAACAGGGGGAGGGGCAGAGGGAGAAGCAGACATCCCGCTGAGCAGGTAGCCCAATGTGGGCTGGATCCCAGGACCTTGAGATCATGACTGATGCTGAAGGCAGACACTTAACCGACTGAGCCACCCAGGCGCCCTAGAACATCAATTCCCAATATAGAACTTTATCTTTGTTATCCATTCAGAAACAGTGGGAAGAAAAAAAAGATATGCTAAAATAACAAAATCTCTTCTCCCAGAGGGTCTGTGAGGTAACTAATCATCTTTCCTATTTCAATTAGAGAAACCTATTGAAAATTCTTAATTAATACAATTATAAGAAATTTTATGGAAAGAACAGCACCTCCCAAAAACTGTCTGCAGGGCATAAAACAAGTTACATAAACTTCTTGTATGTCTGAATACTCATTTATATCATTTATATAATTACAGGGAAGAATTACAGAATTATGTCGCTAGACCATGTGGAAGGGGAAACATAAAGCCAAATAATATGCCTATTAAAAATAAACATACAGAAATTAGAAACTAGGAAATCTGACTATGAAAAACAGCTGTGTTTAGTAGTTATACAGTTAATATGGAAAAGGACTTTATAGGGTTTTTTGCATAAATAAACGGGGTTCTGTTCTATTTAAGATGTAAAATAGTATTAACTTTCCATTCTAATAGTTTAGTGAGTCAAATAATTATAGACTGTAATTATCTAAGCATAAAATAATGGCAATTTCCTTAGGCAAATAAATACCAAAGGTGCTCAAATGACTGTGAAGCCAACTAGAGGTATGGCGTTGTCATCATTTGGGCTAGACTTAGTATATTAGAATTTAAATATGGTGCTACAGTATTAAAATTTTAGATATTGCACAGAGAATAACATTTTAGGAAGAGTATTTCCTGGTCCCATTAAACTTAAATAATTAAAGCTTCACTTTATTTAAAAATTTTAATTATTTAAAGCAACCAAAGGACTTTTAACAAAGTATAAAAGCACGGATTTATCCTCAAATTAAAAAGAAAATTAAACAAAATATATGAAAAAAAAGTGCTAAAGACACTGGATGTCAGGCAATGAAGAACACTGATACTCAAGAGATGGGAAACGAATGAAATGAAACTTAAGACCGCTCGAGTTTACTGCCTTGAATCTATCCAGTATATATAGTGCAGGGAGGGGGAACTCAGGTGCAGCCAAGAGGACTACCTGAGTTAAGGAGCTAGAACTGAGAGTACTGACACAGAACTGACCAAGGTGGCTAGAATTTAGAGGCAGAATAAAAGAAAACAGCACTCCAGCAGTAGAACTAAGATGTGGGGAGGGCTCCCCTGATCAAGTATTCCGTCTTGCCCCAGGAGTAGAGAATAATTACCCTTAGACTAAATGATGCTCTGGTCTGCATAACAAATCTTAAAAGCAATACTCAGATCAAATTATTTACAGGTAACATAATGGTGAGCTAGAACAAAGCTCAAGACTATTTACAGGAATACAAAAATATCCAGCACCTAAGAAGCTAAAACTCAATGTCTGGCATCTAATCACAGACTACCAGGCACATCTGTTTTCTACTGCTGGATTACCAATTACCACAAATATAGTGGCTTAAAACAACACCTATTTATTATATCACAATTCTGTAGGTCAGAGTCTACGTAGGTTGCCTGCACTGTCTGCTAGAAATCGCACAAGGCTGAAATCATCATGTCTGCCAGGCTGGGCTCTTGTCTGGAAGCTCTCAAGAATCTGCTTCCAAGCTTATTCAAGGTTGTTGGCAGAAGCCAGTTTCTAGTAGACATAGGATTGGGGTCCCTATTTCCTTGCTAGCTGATGGCCAGGGGTTGTTTTCATGTTCTAAAGGCCACCTGAATTCCTCACTACATGGCTGGCCCTCTCTATTTTCAAGCCAGCAATGGCACATAGTATCTTTTTCATGATTCAGCTATTTCTTCCCCATCTGCCACTGGCCAGAGAAAATTCTCTACTTTTAGAGGACTCATGCGATCATATTGGGCCTACCTAGATCATTCCCCTTTACATTAATTCAAAGCCAACTGATTAGTAACCTTAATCACATAGGCAAAGTCCCCTGTGCCATATAACATAATATTATCACCGGAGTGATATCTTATTGTATTCACAGGAGAGGGGTTCCAAGGATCATTCTTTTTTTTTTTTTTTTAAAGATTTTATTTTATTTATTTGACAGAAAGAGACAGCAAAAGAGGGAACACAAGCAGGGGGAGTGGAAGAGGGAGAAGCAGGCCTCCCGCCGAGCAGGGAGCCTGACGTGGGGCTCGATCCCAGGACCCCGGGACCACGAACCAAGCCGAAGGCAGACGCCTAACAACTAAGCCACCCAGGCGCCCCTCCAAGGATCATTCTTAAAATTCTGCCTGTCCTACCAGGCAAGCAGATAAACAGAAAAATAAGACCCATAATAAGAACAAATAAATACAATAAAAATCAATCCAAAACTAACATAAACGTTAGGATTAGCAGATAAACACATTCACACAATTATAATTACATTCCATCTGTTCAAAAAGTTGAATAGAGACATGGAATAAAAAAGATGCAAAACAAAATTTTAGAGATAAAAACTGCCATGAGATTTAAGGAAAAATACACTCAGATGGGATTGGTGGCAGATTATATATTGCAAAGAAAAGGCCAGTGAACTTGAAGCTATAGCAATGATATAGAAATGATCAAAATTAAGAGACAGAAAGACTTGAGGGGAAAAAAAAGTGCATATATAAACTGTGAGTTTAACTTCAAGTGGCCCCAATATATGTGCAATTAAGTCCCTGATGAAGAGCAGAGAGAATGGGAATAGAAATATATTTGAAAAAATAATGGCTGAAAATTTTCCACATTTGATGAAAACTATAAACCTAGGAAGTATCCAAGAATTTCAAAGAACACCAAGCAAAAGAAAAATAAGTAAATCACATGAAGCATACATAATCTAATTTCTCAAAACAAATAATAAAAAGAAAATATTAAAAGCAGCCAGAGAAAAAGACACATTACAAAGATTAGGATGGCAGTGGATTTCTCACTAGAAACAATGAAAGCAAGACAGAGAAGCAACAACTTTAAAGTACTGAGGAAATGAACAAGCAAATAAACTGTGAACTTAGAATTCCAGACTCACTGAAAATATCTTTCAAAAATGAAGACTTTTCAGATATATAAATGAGTCAAGAATCCATTATCAGTAACTACCATATGATCCAGCCATATCACTCCTAGGTATTTACCCAACTGAAATCTACATTTACACAAAAATTGCACAAGGATGTTATTAATAGCTATATTTGAAAAAATACAAAATGGAAACAACTCAAATATCATGGGTGAATGGATAAACAAATTATGGACTATCCACACAACTAAATACTACCAATAGTAGAGAGGGATTATTGATACATGCAACATAGATGAATAAATATCAAAGTAATTATTCAGAGTGAAAAAGGCCAGAAATCCCTCTCCCAAAATAAAACAGTATATACTGTATGATTCCATTTATATAAAATTCTACAAAATACAAACTAATAGCAAGTGACAGAAACAGGTCAGTGATTGCCTGGAGACAGAGGTGGGTAGGAAGAACACGAGAAGAGCAGAAAAGAGGGATTACACAGAGGCACACAAGGACACTTTTAGGAATGATGAATATATTCATTATCTTGATTGTTGTGATGGTTACACAACTGTAAATTTATGACAAAAACCTTGAAGTTATACTCTTCAAGTAAAACTGGAGGTTGATGATGGTGGCACAACTATATACATTTCCTAAAAATCCCAAAACTGTATACTTAAAGTGGGTGAATCCTATGGTATATAAATAATGTCTCAATAAAGTTACTAAAGATGGAGGGGGAAGCTTCAATTTCATGTTTGGTTAGGCTTTGGAAATCTCTAATTGTAAATGTTAAGACAGATTAAATATAAATGACAGCATTTTAATTTTAGTTCAAAAGAAACAACTTATTGTGTTTGTGTGTTTTATTTGCATTTTTGTTGTTAAACTGGCAAATTTAGCTCATTTTCATTGTAAATGCTTAGCTGTAAAAGTCATCCTGGGGAAACTGAAAACATCTGGTCACTACTTCAAACCCTGGTTGCTTATTAAATATTTTAGTAATTTCAATATATTAGGAGATGACAATGCTCAGCACCTGCTTTCACTTAGGAAAAAGAAATCTGAAGGGATTTAAGCTCTTTATTAAGCATCTAGAAGTTTCTTTTATGAAGTGACACAGTTGCTACTGCAAATAACCATATTAGAAATAGCTTAAAATTAATTTTTTACTTTTATAACCCACAATATGAAATTTTTAAAACAAGCAATCCAAGAAGTAAATGTTTGTATTCATAAGCAGCAGCTATGAATTTCATTAGAACAAGTAAATGCTTTTTAATTTTTTTTAACGTTCTGGAAAAACTATTTTATATCCATTTTACTAATTCAGTATTTCATCTTGGTACAACTGAGTAACATTTTTTTTTTTTAAATTCTGAGGAAATCTTTTTTCCTAAAAACTAGCAAATGTCTCAAAATATGGACCAAAAAATTCAATACCTTAGATCAAAATAGCACTAAATCTGCAAATTTCAATTTATAGCCATACAACCACAAAAGAATCAGAGTGTAAATGAGACAAACGACAATTAATAGCATGCAGTGAGAAACTCAGGAGGATAAATGTTCCTACTACGTGTCCATGATAATTCTTCATTGTGTCTAATCCTTTATTAAGGTCAATACTGTTTCTCTTCCTAGTTACTCCATATTTAGTTTAAGGTTCAGCAGGAATTAATTAATTAATTATAAGTTTCAGTAGGAATTTAAAGTAATTTTTGAAAAACCAAAATGTCTTAAGAATTGTAAGATACTTCCTTTTA